TATATATATATATATATATATATATATATATATGTATTATAACTATCTCTCTTCTTTTTCACGTGTCAAATCATTTTTCACATCGCACTATTCCTTGTCTCCCTAAACACTTTCCCTAACATCCTTTCCTCGCGTTAGGTTTCACATTTTCAACATAAACAATTATTCGTCTGATGGTGAAACCATTTGGACCTAACTCACGAAACCTAGGCGAGAACCAGACTCTAAACTCGGTTAAAGATTTTTTTTAATAATCTGAAAATTCACTTAACTTTTAACCCAAGTACAATTTTTAGAGGATCGGAACTATCCAAATTTGGATAACTCGTTTAATATGCAAACATGCGAGCATTCAAGAGACAAAAACGTGATTTTTCTTGGTTCTAATTGAAGTTTTAATCCATTGGTCGTCCAATCCAAGGATCAAACTATAATATACTACGGTTGCGTGTTTCGGGTTCGGTTCGAGAATTATTCGATTCAGTTCTACAAAAATATGTACCGATCGGATTATTATATCATATTCGGTTTGGTTTGATTTCAATTCGGTTTCATTTTTTATTAAGAAAAATTACATTTTCTTACGAAATTTTCGTTTTTTTTTTAAATTCGGTTCGGTTGGATTTGGTTTAGAAAATTTCGCATCTCTAAAAAAATACCGTTCGAAAATTTTGAACGGTTCGATTTGAGAACGTAATTGAATTTTTCGGTTCGATTTCGAAGAACTGTATCGAAACGTCCGCCAATAGTTCATACAAAACAATTTTTGATAGTATGTTAGGATCGGAAAACTGACGAAGAAAAAGATTTGAGTGGTTTCTGTCATATAAAGTGAGCGCTGTGGTAATAATTATTGAGGATGATACCTTAAAAAGGACAGAAGCCGCAGAGAAAGAGAACATTTTGGCCCTAAATGTCTCTGAAAAGGACCCTCTCTTCTCCTTTGCTTTCCCTTCGTGCTTTCTAACATTATTCGATGCGATGCATATATATATATATATAAATCTTTTAGTCTAGTTGTGATTAGATATGGTTGATTTGGTTAATAACCAAATAACTAAATCCATCAATTACCAAAGAATATATAACCGTAATCGAATCAAATCTAAAATAAAAACCAAATAGTTATAATTTTTCTAAAATCTAAAAAAAATCGAATCCTAACCAAAAAAAATGGAATAATAAATATTTTTATCAATAAAACCAAATTCAAATCCAAATAGAATCGAATACAAATTGAATGTTATATTTTTTTTCTAAAGTCTAAATAACCGCTCCTAATTCTGCTTATCTTCAATTTCTAAATATATATTTGAGACGGAATAATAAATTGGTTATCTGAAATAAAAATAAAAATAAAAAACTATATGGATTAGGGTTTCAAAAAACCCGCCGCCACCGACACGTAGCAAAATAATAGATTAGGTCTTACCGCGGGTTGACAAAAAATAGTGTACCATCGATCGTAATCGGTATTTTGATTCATTGCCGATAATATATTAATATGGTTCAACTATATGCAGAGAGACGTATAATACAAAGTAACGTTTATGTCATTTTGTTATCCGATTGAGATGTATGCACACTAGTGATGTAAAACGGGCTGGCTCGGACCGGCCCGTACCGGCTCGTCTCGAGCCAGCCCATTTTTGGCTCAGCCCGTTCGGCCCGTTTTTTTACGAGCTAGAAAAACTCTGACCCAGACCAAATTGTCCGAGCTCCGAGTCGGCTCGCTAGCCCACCCGTTTTTATGTCTTCCCTCAACCCGTTCGGTCCGTTTTTTTACGAGCTAGAAAAATTCTGATCCAGACCAAATTGTCTGAGCTCCGAGGCGGCTCGTGAGTCAGCCCATTTTTATCTAATTATTCGAAATTTTTTTAAAATTACATGAAAATTATATTAATCATTTAAAATCTACATAACAATATTTTGAAATCATACAATATAATATAAAATATTTAACATAACAATCCATAAAACTATATATAAATCAAGAAAAATTAACAAAACCAAACCAACATAAAAAAATCTAATACACTAACAATATCAAAATATAACAAAGAATATGCATCAACATCAACATAAAAAGTGTCATACACCAACAACATCAAAATATAACAAAAAATATACACCAACATCAACATATCATGAATTTTAATTTGCTATATAAACAGAAGAAGTGAAGAAATTAAAGTATGAAACCCTACTATTTTTTTAATGTCAGCTCGCAAGCCGACATTAAAAAAATATTAGGGTTTCATACTTTAATTTCTTCACTTCTTCTATTTATATAGCAAATTAAAATTCATGATATGTTGATGTTGGTGTATATTTTTTGTTATATTTTGATGTTGTTGATGTATGACACTTTTTATGTTGATATTGATGTATATTTTTTGTTATATTTTGATGTTGTTGGTGTATTACACTTTTTTATGTTGGTTTGGTTTTGTTAATTTTTCTTGATTTAGATATAGTTTTATGGATTGTTATGTTAAATATTTTATGTTATATTGTATGACTTCAAAATATTGTTATGTAGACTTTAAATGATTAATTTTCATGTAATTTTAAATTTTTTTTGAATAATTAGATAAAAATGGGCTGGCTCGCGAGCCGGCTCGGAGCTCGGACAATTTGGTCTGGGTCAGAGTTTTTCTAGCTCGTAAAAAAACGGGCCGAACGGGCTGAGCAAAAAATGAGCTAGCTCGAGACGAGCCACCGGTCCGAGCCAGCCCGTTTTACATCACTACATATATATATATATATATAGCTGTCGACATGGCACCTCAACAAAATCTTATCTCTTTGCTATAAAGGGATTTCATGTATTTTTTTTAATAATAGAATATGTAAATTGTTATGAAATTTAAATTTATTATTCTATAAATTTTATTTTTTTATTTTCCAATAAATCAATGTTGTTGTTTTTTTTATGAATCGCAATCAAATTCACTGAATTCATCCAATGGCCATTAAGAAAAAGGATAGAATCACTTCAATCAATATGTACACATAAAGATTCCTATATATATATAGTTCGTTTTTTTCTTTCTTTCTAAAAAGCAATAATGCAAAAGTAAAAAGAATTATAAAAAATCATGGATAAGCCAATGTCATAATTTGGCGATAAAGAAATCGAAACATATATCCTCACTTATAAATGCCCTAACCAGCGAGGCAAAATATATGTTGATGACGTGCCAAAATATTTTGTTTTTCAGTTTCGGGCACAACACCTAATGCGCCACGGTCCCATCATAATATTGTCATGTCCCAATTCGATAAGCAAATGTCTTGAAAATAGACCATGCTTATATTTCATTGGACCATGGTGAATAATAACCCATTTCATTGTTGGATACAAAACGCTACACTATTCGTGAAAAATCCGTAAAAATAACATATAATTTGTGTAAATATGTTGCATAAATACATCATTTTTCAAATTGTCAAATCAATGACACAATTTGGTCATTTTGTATATATTTGGCATAAATTGATATAATTATCGATCAATTACATCACTTCGATACAATTTGATCAAATTGAGGTATTGATTTAGCAATTTGAAAATTTGATATTTATATTTGGTACAAAATGATCAAATTTATTTATTTTAACAAATTAGAAATTAAGGTATCTATAGGTACATTTAGATAAATTGTGATATATATTTATGGAATCTTTCCCATAAAATAATAGTTCCTAGAACTTTTGTCCATGCATTGCAACAATTGTATATATTAACGTGGGATGTTGTCATAAAGATTGTATCCACATAATGAAAGTTAATTTCGAGATCTAACCAATGATTCGCTGCAAAGTCAATCCCACTCTCGAGCCGTGACTTTTCATTGATGAAATGCGACAAAACATAAATGCATAGTATAAATAATAAAAGAAAAACATACCCAATAGATCGTGGGCGAGTGGTCAAGCTTGGGTAGGAGGTAACTCTACCTTGAGGTTGAGTGTTCGATTCTTGACTGATGGGGAGGGAGGTAATTTCTGGATTTATATGATCCATATACAAAGGCTGCTCCCGGACCAGAAGTTTACCTAGTCAGTGCGTCCGAAGAGTAGCAGCTAGGAGTCTTCCGTTATAAAAAAAAATCGTGTACGGCATAGGGAGAAAACCCTAAAGTAAAATAATTTATTTCCCTGAATATAACAGGATTTATATTTAGCAATATTTTTCGATATATATATATATATTACATAATCGTTTCATTTCCTAACTAGCTGTTGTAAGTGTGTAGACGCACTTGATGATGGAGACAGAACAAATTATAGAAGAAAGACATAAGTTTGATAAGTTGGTGTTGACATCATGCATATCCATGGCTATATACAACTAAGCAAACGATTTAGGGACCAAACAAGACACAAAATGTTATGTATCAATTAGATGAATAACATTTGTCAAAGTTTTGTTTCACCAACCTTTTTGTGGCATATCTTTTCATGTTTCAATGTCCGAATTAAATATTAGGCAAAAAAATATATTTAGAAAAACAACATTTTAAGAAAAAAATATAATACCATATGATATGCTTTTCTTTTTGCAAATAAAACTCTCTTTTCAATTAGCATTTACTCGAGCTTCAATTGACCATTTTTCACATCCCTCGCCGCTAATCGGTCTATTATTAATCGGTCCCTCATATCTATCCCTAAGTTTTAAAGTATGAACATTTATTATTTGCAAAAGATAAATTTAAGTTTTACACATTAATCAATGTTTTATATAATTTTTTATAGCATTATTATATATATATATATATATATGATTTTGGAATACATTTTAGGTTTCACTCAATAATATATATATATATATATATATATATATATATATATATATAGACTTTTGTTTAATTTCAATACTGCAACATAAGACACATATTTCATATATAATTGTAGACAGGGAAATATTATAATAGATAATTACAGAATGTTATTATATATATATATGGTTTAATTTTTTTTATCCGTTCCCTTAATTTAGGATTACTTTAATTATCTGAAAACGACTCTATTTAAGTTAATTTATAAACTTAATCAAACACTAACGTTCCATGGTTACTAGAGCAAATCCCAAATTAAGAAAATAAATTGAGAAAAATGTACAAAAAGCCCCGTCTAATACGAGGGACAAAATCGTCAATGACCAGCTGGTGCGAGGCTCAGATGCAAATTCAAGCCCAAGCCATCGTCAAAAGCGGGTCCCACATCGCCTTTTGTAAACCCACTCAATGAAGGCCCATTACTTATCATCTCATGGGCCTGAACCTGGCCCATGTTAGGTTCAACAACCCCGAGGCCGGAATCTCCTGCGACGCAGAAGTGCCGGAACCCGACCGCCGGCGACATAGCTCCGCCGTTTCCATCGTTCGTGCCTTGAATCATGTATCCGTGTGACACGTGGATCTGTGCGGGCAAAACGCGCGGGAAATACACCCACGGGCTTCCTCCAGCTCCGCCAGCCGCAGCCGGCAACGGGGGAGGGACGGCGGAGGACAGGAGATGCGGCGGGGGGGGGGAGGGGGAGACGATGGGGTTACGGACGAACGATGGCGCAGCAGCCGGAGCGACGACGGAAAATTTTGCGGCGGCGGCGATGTTACGGGATGACTGAAGCTGAGCGCGTTTGAGTTGCTGACGCTCTTTCTTGTGTGCGTTTTGATGGCCGCCTAAGGCTTGGGAATTGGCAAACTCTCTGCAGCAGTATTGACACTCGTACTTCCGGTCGCCTCCGCCGCCGCGTCCGCCGGCTACAGAGACGGCGGAGGAAGCGGGGGGGCAGGCGGTGGGGT